TGAGTTCCCCCGCTGTAAGATCTGCCGTTGTCGAGGCCAGACGCTGTTATGTACATTTTACTCGCAGAATGTGACGGCGGAAGGTTGGAAGGGGTAGGTAAGGTGGGAGCCTTGACAGACAAACGTTTCGGGAAACCGATGTTTCTGGAAGATGAGGGATTTCGTTTAGCTAAATACTCGAGTAGGGAGGAGCACTGGGAGTAGTTGGCAATATGCTGACCTCCGCAATTCGCGCAAGTAGGTGTAATATCGCTACTTTTGCTACACTCTTTGGAAGTATGATTTCCACCACACTTAACGCATTTAGGGTTTTTAAAGCAGTTAACAGACGCCACATTTTCGGAATGGTTTCTTCTTAACAAATGTCTACAGAATTCGATACTGTATGCTAGATAAAGAACTTTCCGTAAAAATGTAAAAGTATTGCGTAAAAGGTACGCACGTCGGCTCATTTTTAAACTTTGATGGCCATTTACAACCATCCAAAACCACAAAATTTAATAACTGTATACTCTAATATATTCAGGACACTCTCCTCTATCTTTTAAGACTAAATGGATCTTCTTAGCGTTTTGAGTTTTCACGCAATGTCTCATTTTTGTCCAAAATCGTGTGTTTTTACAAAAGTCCATATTTTGCAAAAACTAAGGGTGATAGAGAAATTCTGCTTCCGGATTCGTGTTTGGGGAGACAAACTCTACAAGGATCACCCAATGGATATTGCAGATTTTTCTGAAGGTCAAAATTTGTTGGACAGTGAAATCGGTCCAGCACGGAACGTATTAACTTACTTATGTCGAAAAGTCATTAGTTTAGAAGATATTTTAATCTGAATATGTATTGCAAAGTGATTGTAGTAGTCTTTCAGAACAGTACGTATCGATACTACAGTCACTTTGCAATACATATTGAAATTAAAATATCTCCTAAACTAATAACTTTTCGATATATATAGGTTAATACTTTTTTGTAGAGAAGACTCAAATGCATCGATTAATGCATTAATAATTTTATGATACTCGTTATCTGAAAGATCGTTAAGACTCTGTTCAAACAATTTCACGTTTGCTGTGTGATGAGTTACTAATCTACCATTTCATTTTATCCTTATTGATTTGTAGCGGCCAACTGTAACCCAAAAGAAAGTATTTGGCGTGCAGATGACTAGCACGGTTTATGACGTGTGCACTAGCAAAATTATTTTTGAGGAATCCCATTTAGCCTGTTTAATATTTAGCAAACCTTATATATAATGTATGCTTTCGTTGAAACTTTCACCAACGGCCTCAATAGCAAATTGCCACGTCATAAACTAAGGGTTTCTGAAAGGTCCGCCGTACGAGACCCAGAGGTCCAAGTCACACGTCAAAAGTTTTCCATGGGTTCTAGTAATGTCAATTCGTCTAGTTCATCGAATCTGGTGTTCGGCTCATAATCTATTACAGTTGTAATTCGAACGGCGTATATCTCGTTGTTTAATTATTGGTGCAATTGCAATTTAGCATAGTCTTTATATTAGTTGTTTTAGTATTATTAGTTTCTATGGGTTAGTCTCAGTCTAGTAATACCGTATATATTCTTTTAACGCATTACTTACCGGCAGTCGATTAATAGGCTTTATACAACCAGCGTTTATCGATCGGTAGCCTGTAAATCTGTTAATCGGCTTTTTCCTAAACACATTCGCACTTGTCCTGTCAGTAATTATAGTGTTTTACTTATTTTCTTAAAGTTGCTACAACAACTTTAACCCTCCAAAATAAATCCTACCAATGAAAGTGAGATACCTTTGGATCATTTGTTAGAGCACTTTATTATAGTTGGACAGCGATGATAGTGATGAGATTGATATAGGTGGTCGAAGACGTTTACCTAAATTACTTTTACAATATACTGACTTAATAAGCGATAATGATACAGATGTTGATATAACCGATAATATCTAGAGCAACGGATAGACCATCTGTTCTGCAACCTTTAGAAGGAAGCTCCGGCATAAAAATTATGCCAAAAGATGAAGAGCGTGTGGCTGATGTTGTAAATATATTTATAGGAGGAGAGTTTTTCGAGATTGTTAAGTATTTAATATTGAATACAAAACCATTATTTTATTCCAAATCCATTAGTATATAACATTTTAAAATTGCCTCTTACAGTTTTGCAGATTTTGATGATTTACATCTTGCGCGCACATCCACTATGGTAGTAGCCGTTCTAACTTTCATTTTAATGAAGCATTCTGGCTTGCACTAAATTATACAGTAACAAGTAACAAGTAACAATGACAGTAACAAGTTTCTTAACAGCAATGAAAAGATTAATTGTTTTTATTATTCACCTATGACATCGTGGCAAAGGTGGAGCGATTTATAGCGATGTGGGCGATGGACCGCAGTTAGTGTATGTCTTATCTTTATTATGTTCAAAAATTCAGAGAATTCTTGCGATAAGATTTCGTTCGCGTTATCCGTCAGTATTTCCCACGGTTTCCCGAATATTCATGAAACCTAAATGGCTTGTTTGATTCCTCCTGTGGATTTATCGATTAAGGATTCGCATATTAGATACCGTGTTCCGTATTTAGGTTGTTCTGAATTTTACGATTAGTCGTCTTGGCGCCAACTGCTTTTCTACCGCTAGCGAAAGTCGATAATGGGCATAAACCCTTGAAACTCTGATCCAAAACTTTCCTTATGTCTGGAAAATGTCACTGGCCTCCCACGTTGTGCAAAGTCCGCGGGATCATTTTTACCCCCTCTTTAAACGTCGGGGAGGCCAGTGACAGTCACGCCTAAACTCTGTCCAACGTAAGAGTAACCTAACGCTCGGATCAATTTTCTACCGATCGGCGCAGCTTCCACTACTGCCTACCGATGTGACGCATGCGATTGGTCGTACCGCTATTTCTACCAATTCCAAAACGTGGCATCACCGACGCTAACGTAAACAGTGCATACAGTGGAGAGTACCTGCCCGGTGGTCGAAAAGTATGCATACCGTGCCCATGTTAGCGCCAGCGGTTTGTTACACGGACGAGCCAAAGAGGCTAGTTTTGAGATTAGAGCTTTAGTTCACTACTATCATATTTTCGAGAATTAAAATATGTCCTGGTAAGAAAAAAATTAGAAGGCAATTTCTACCGTCTTTAAGAGCCAAAAAATGAGTCATAAAATATCATTTTTGACAGTCTGAACAAGTCCTCCAGATTTTTTATTAAAAAATAAATAATTTGCCTAGATATATCACCTTGTCTATTTTAAAATACCTTTTTTTTTGCATTTTGATAATTAATAAAATCATTTAACCCTTTCGCTACGGCAGTCCTCTCCGCCGCGTCGGTGTGCCGCCATTGAACGGGACCCCACGTCAAAAGTGTACACGTTTACGTCTTACGTCTTCGACTTCGACTTCGGTTTTTTCCTACCTGCATATAAAATCAAGGAAAATGTCTTTCTATTAATTGCACGGGATTATCGTTGCCTCTTCGTTGACGTTGAATTAAATTTCGATGATAATTTTCGAGTACTTACTTTACGTCGCGTAGATGCTGTATACATGGTGAGGCATCTAACTTGATCACCTCGAATAACTTCTGAATTATTCGTTATACAAAAAATGATTTCGACAAGGGTTACATGGTATCAAGAGGGACATCATGTGATGTACACGAGTTCTTTATAAGTGCAGGCGTTTAGGCGATTTGAAGGTCAACTTTGTTCTTTTAAATGGAATGTCCTATTCTTTTTGCGGCAGTTCGAAAGCTCATTAATTTCCAAGTAGAAAAGTATTAAACATTGTTTGTCCTAAAGTTAATAATTAACGAGATATTAACGACAGTTTGATCCATAGGATCCGCATATGGTCGCGAATTGTCCCCGAAGCAAGTGTGGCACACGCTTCACAAATTCGTTCTTGCATATTCTCTTCCGTTGTTGGTGTTTCACGATACACTTTATTTTTTAACGTACCCCGGAGAAAATAATCCAATGAAAACTGGTCTGGTGAACGAGGCTGCCACGATCTTTCAACGCGACCTTATGCGGATCCAACGTTGATCCAATTTCTCCTGCGCCATTAATTTGCCGTCTCAAACGTAGTAAGATACGCTCAACATTGTATTTGCTATGCACGTGCGCAACCGAATAAGTTTAGAGCGGACGAACGAAATATTGGGCATTCAAGCTGGATCCACTTTTAAAGACAGTGGTCCGATATAAGAACTTTGGACGAATCATCGGATCCACTATTTGGAATTCGTCATTTGGATACATTCAGATCACAGTACTCGCGGTGACCTTACGATCTTTCGAGTTTTGCTGAATTTGCACGTTTGTGCCGACTAATTACAAATTCGAAGGACCACTCCCGTGTATCGGGAGACTAACTAATTTACTCGTGTTTGGTTTCCGGAAGATTTCAGTGTTGCTTGTTGCTAGACGAATGGATTCTGATTTCGAGGTCTCAGAAAAAGTTCGAAGATACCTCGGTCAGGATACATTTGGCGAGGGTGAGACACGCGGATTGGTTATTACAATTTCGACTTCGACAAGGGACGTGGTTGACTATACGCGATTGGCAAACTATTAAACAAAGAAGGACCTAAAGGAACGCCCCCAAGTCAACGGTCACTCTCAAGTGTCGTCCGTACCCTTGAGTGACGCTCACGGAAACTCGCATGCCTCGAAGCAATAAACGCAGCAGGTAATAAGTTTGGGCAGCGCTTCGTTGCTAACAAAAACATACCAAAGTGGAGACCAAAAACCCGACAAGTTAAAATATAACAAACAGATGTGGATGAGAGCCACGAGAAGAAAAGCATCGCATCTTTCGAGTTTTGCTGAATTTGCACGTTTGTGCCGACTAATTACAAATTCGAAGGACCACTCTGGTGTATCGGGAGACTAACTAATTTACTCGTGTTTGGTTTCCGGAAGATTTCAATGTTGCTTGTTGCTAGCCGAATGGATTCTGATTTCGAGGTCTCAGAAAAAGTTCGAAGATACCTCGGTCAGGATACATTTGGCGGGGGTGAGACACGCGGATTGGTTATTACAATTTCGACTTCGACAAGGGAGGTGGTTGACTATACGCGATTGGCAAACTGTTAAACAACGAACGAACTAAAGAACGCCCCCAAGTCAACGGTCATTCTCAAGTGTCGTCCGCACCGTTGAGTGACGCGCGCGGAATAAACGCAGCAGGTAATAAGTCCGGGCGGCGCTTCGTCGCTAACAAAACGTACCAAGGTGGAGACCAGAAACCCGAGAAGTTAAATATAAGGAACAGACGTGGACGAGAGCCACGAGAAGAAAGCATCGAACTTCTAAATGAACGTTAAAGTGCTCGATGGCCTCCCAAATTTACGCCTGGAAAACGCACGGATTAAAAATAAATGGTAATTCATTCGTCTATAATCTCTGTTCTGGTGTAATTTCATAGTGAAAAGTATCATCAAACTGTACAGAGATACAGCTCCGCGGAAAGTCTTGCCGTAGCTAAGATGTTAAGTCTTGGAATCTTTCACCGGGAAGATGAAGCATTTTCACCTCGAAAACGCGCAAAACGGTACTCGGTTGTTGACACAAGGGTTGACACGAAACGTTACGTGCTCCTAAGTCTGTTTAATCAACGTGGAATGTTAGTTGAAACTGTACGTAGTACTTGAACCCTTTCGCGTACCTACCTGTAATTGGCTATCTTGACAACGGCATTCAGCGGCTCCTTTATACGATAATAGACGACCGCGTCTACGCTCACCGTCACGGAATCCTTGGTGAGCACTTCCTGCGGTGGAACGTCGAAGGACACCGTCCTCAGGTCCACCCGAACGCAGTAATCCACGCAGGGCATCACGAAGAACGTTCCTGTTACAAAACAACGCACACCTTGTTTTCCACCATCGAGCCGTTTTAATATCGTACATCCTTCGTCCTCGTGTACACACAATCGGGGGCAATTATCGTCGGGTCGGCTGCGTCGAAAATATGCTTCGATTACAATTTTCGAGTCGAACGAGTAATTATAGGTACATGAACCCCGCGTTGGAAATATTGATTTATATGTGTCGCACTTATATACAGCGCGCGCGTACTATTTATTTAGACGTCCGCGCGTCGTGCAAATATATGCAGAGCGATCGTCGGGGATTTTCAGCCGTGGCGAAATGAATTACCGTTGGGAAAAAATCGAGAGGTCGGCAGGTACGTTTATACGAATTGCCTTAAGGGGGTATTCTAGTCTAGACTTTTCAAAAAAATCGATTTTTTTTACATTTTCTGAAAGTAGACATTTGCAGAAGTATAACTGTCGAAGGATTTTTCCGAATTCGTAAAATTGACGAAGTTATAGATGGTTGAAGAAGATGACACGTAGCCCGTAGTCGTAAGTATACCATTCTCATGTAACTGGTATGAGAAACTTTAAACGCGTTTTTCTCGAAACCATGTTTTTCTAAATGTCTGACATGATATCTCAAGTTCTAGTTGTCCGATTGACTCCAAATTTTACATGCACCTTCAGTGGATGTGTCGTTATCGTCTGAACCAGAATTATGTGAAAATATATATTTTTCTAATTTTTAGAGCCTCTGAAAGACGAAAAGAAGTCGAAGAAATCGGTATTCAAAATTCAAAGTGCCGCCATTTTGTAAATTTTCACTATTTTTTTTCATTCTGCTTTACACCATAGTCACAGTCGTACTAATCAAGAATCCTTTTGATTTTTTCATTTCGGATAAACAGAATAGGCGGAATCGTGTCAGCCAGTAGGACACTTTTTTTTAAAGAGACCGCACTGAATGATATATAATTCAGACAGTTTTGTTTATTTTCACTTGAAAAAAATTTTGCAATTTCTTAAAACATGAATAAATATGTATGCAAAATGCCGATACTGAGAAACGTATACTTTGCTTACAAAAAAATCTCCAAGAAGGACTAAAAATGACACTTTAGACTAGAATACCCCCTTAAGCAAATAATGCCATTTTGCACCGAAAATCAAATGTATATATAATCATTTTATTCAACATTCTGCTGACTTACACCACTTTTGTGTAAACTGGGAAGGTATTTATTATTAGATGTAATAAAAGAGAGATCTGTTTGTTGAGATAGACATTACGTTTCTACTGCTTTATTAATTACCCAACAAATTATTTAAAGAAAATGAATAAAATGTGTAAAATATGGTTTACCTTGTCATGAATTTAAGTAGAAAAATAATGATGAGCATGACATAGAAACTTTGTGGATAGCGACAATGTTAAGCTCTTATTCATGGTTAACTTCTTCTTCGAAATCCAGAAGTCCAATGTCATTTATCTCACACCCAAGACTAACTTGCACCATTCTTGCATGTAGCGTGCATGCCAATCGAGTGGGTGGTTCTTACTTACTTTGCCATCCAACGAGAAACTAATGTAGATATTCTTACACCACTTTTGTACAAAACAGAAGGAAGGTTAGGCTTTCGAGATATGGTGTT